CCCCCCCCCAAAAAAAAACGTGCTCGGGAATATACAGGAACTCTTTTCTCAAATGGTTGAAATAATTCCCCCCACCCAGCTCTCACATATTTCAGAAGCTGCTTCTGGCTATCTTTGAAGTGCAGAGCCAAAGGGCTGTTCGTGCTCATGCATGTACAGTAGAAATAGCTGGGAGCAGTTTTTGAAACAGCCGTGCCAGCGTAAAAAAAGATGCACCTGTTTTAACAATTTGAAAAGCGATGCTGTGCAATCTGAAAGTCATCCTTCAAAAGATTTGTCAGCCTTGTTGGACAAGTGGTAACTGGTTCATAATTATTACAGAAGTATGCTGATTTTTTATTTGTTTAATTAATCTTACCTTTATTATTTTTTTATAAATAATCCATAGCCACGAACATAGCCTAATAGTCCTTCCTCTTCCTATTTTCCCCACAACAACAACCTTGTGAGGTGGATTGAGCTGTGGGAGAGTAACTGGTCCAAAGTCGCCCACTTGGTTTTCATGCCTCAGCTGGGAGTAGAACTCACAATCTCCCTGTTTCTAGTGTGATGCCTTAACCACTACAACTACTGGCTCTTTTCTTTACTTTTGTTGTTCATTTTCAGTACACAGTGTAGACGTTTTATCATTTTAAATATATAAATATATAATTGAATTGTAAGCTACTAGTGTAACTTGGACAGAATACCACTGTACCACAATAACCTGTCAGTAATTCATTCTGGAAGACAAGACGAATGAATACCGAGAAAACCATGTGACTTACCACGTGACCCACTGCTTTGGCCAGAAGATATAGCGAGACACGAGGCAGCCGACTTCAGCAAGTTCTTCCTTGCATATTGACTATCAAGAGAAAGATGAGTGCCAGGACACGTTTTCTGCTTCAAAATGTGTCAAACACCAAAGTTAATGAACTTTGAAGCAGTCGAGTGCCAAGGTGTGACTGTACCAGTTAAGAAAAATAAAATAAATAAAAATTTCCAAACAACTTGATTTATGTTAGGGCAGATCACAGTTTGTATATGAGGCATTACAGTTTACTGATTTAGCACATGGTTTAACTGTTTTGAAATGGTTTTAATGCTTTACTTCTTTAAGTGACTGAAAACACATTAAGAAATCTTAGAATTAAAGGTGTCTCTCTCACTGTAACCCTTAGCATTCTCACCAACCTTTCCAATGCAAGGTGAATAGGAAAAGCTAAATTTATGCCTTTGTTAAAATTTGAATTGCTCTCTTTAAATGCATCCCTGAAGCATCTACTTCACTATCTACAACAGTGTTAGCAAACCTTTTCCACACCCAGTGCCAAAATAGGAGAGCACGTGGGGCAGCAACAGAAACCAGAAGAGCAGCTCCCCGGCATGCATGCGCAAAGACCAGCATGTGCCAGCCACCTGGTCTTCTGGTTTTTGGTGTGCATGGGCACATGAAGACCAGCTGGCCAGCATGCATGCACGTGCCAGAAACCAGAAGAGCAACAGGAGATGGCTGGCGTGCCCGGAGAGATGGCTCTGTGTGCCACTTCCGGCACCTGTGCCATAGGTTCGCCATCACGGACCTACAACCAGCTGATAGAGCTAGCTTCCTCCATTTTCTTTTGTTCCAATTTAGATAAAGAATATGTTATGAATGTAGGTAATAGTGGGGAGAGACAAGCAAGAGAGCAAGAAAGGGAAAATGATAAACTTTCACAATGACTTTGTGATGCAAACACCTCCCCTTCCATCCTTGTGTGTGACCTTGCAACAGGAGTACAAAAAGCTCGTTTTGTGATGTCACTGTGTATGTTTCATTATTTTGATGTGGGTATATGTGCTGTGGAATTGTATCTAAATTGAATACTTTGCCTCTAGCCTTGATTTCTTTTCTAATCACCTGATACCAAGAAGCTGACTTCCATGCAAAGAAGCTATGAAACTTTCTGGATAACAAATTAGATTGGGGGCCTCTAGAGCATCGTGAGGCAATCTGCTACATATTTAGGGTTAGGTTTTATGTGGCTCTTAAGTGTAACCTAAGTGTTCCGAGGAAAGAATGGCAGTGTTCCGATAATATCTTTATAGTCCTATCTAAAATGAGCTTCGCGTTCCCCAAGGAAAGCTGCTTATTTGGATGCCTTTAGCAGTACACAGAGCAAACAAACAAAAGACTTGTAATTAAGGTAATGGAAAGCATAGATATTAAGCAGCGTAAGTTATAAACTATCTGATTAAGCCACAATTTTAACAACCATGAATTGTTGAATAGACCCACAGTTGTTTAGCCTAATATGGTTGTTTAGACATGCTACGCCATCATTCATGGACTTCAAAACACAGCAGCTAGATTTATACATCACTGTGGTTAAGCCAGAATTAAGCAAGTCATGTTATGTGTTTGCATGTGTGCGCGCGCACACACACACACATGCATACTTTCAAAGCAATGTTGATTCTTAGCAATTGCCTGGACTTTGCCCTTGCAGTTTTATTGGCAAGATTTCAGAAGTGGCTTGCCACTGCTTCCTTTCAGTGCCACTGCTTCCTTCCACTCACTAAGAATGAGTGACTGGCCAAAGATCACCAGTTGCTTTTGTGCCTAAGGACGGAGTAGAACTCAAGAGTTTCCCAGTTTCTAGCCTGATGCTTTAACCACTATACCAAACTAACCAAGGCAGTAGAAAAGATTGATACATATTCCAGTATGAAAAACTGAATACTAAATAATTGTTTTTATCTCACACCCTAGTGAAATAATGTTCAAAGTTTTGAAATCCAGGCTTCACAAGGGAGTGTGCTAAGGTTGTATATTGTCTCCCTATTCTTTTAACTTATATGGACTATATATTATGAGAAACATTGTTTTAGAATAAATAAAAATTGAAGTCAAAGTTACTAAAAGTTTCAGCAACTTCAAATATACTGACGACCTCAGCAGAGAGCAAGAAATTAAGAAGATTTTTAAAAAGGCGATAATAAAAAGGTGGAGGTTTCCCTTTCCGGTTGTGTCTGACTGTTTCTTGGCTGTGGGAGCCAGCATTGTCTGAAGACAATTTCCATGGTCATGTGGCCAGCATGGCTATATGGGACACAGAACGCTGTTCCTCTGAGAGCTGTTCTGAGCATCCAGGCATGGGAAGTGCTCCGTCTGTCATTAGATAGGCTGAGCTGATTTCTGTGAACGCTCCTCCTCCTCCTCGGAGCTTCTCCCAAGTGTCCCCAGTTTTCGCTCAGCCTGTCGTTTAAGCGAGACGTCTATTCCTCACCAGGAAAGCTAAAAACAGGTTTAAATAGCCTTCAAGATTAGAAGGCACCTTTATTTTTTCTGAAATTTTGATTTCTGATACATGCTATTGAGAATATCGTTGATTACACAACAATAAATAATTCAATAGATTAAGTAAAACCATATTAGTCTGTGAAAGCATTAATAATGAAGCTAAAGCTTAATCCTTTTGGATACATAATGGGAAGGCAAATGTCACTGGAGAAGATATTGCTTGGGAAAATGAGGGCCAACTGAAAAAGAAGCTGACAGGGGACAGAGGGTGGCTAGATGATATCACTGACAGATGAAGGGAAGCCTAAATTTACAACTCAAAGAAGCAATTAAGAGTAATCTATGTATTCAAAGCACCCTATACAGCTCCAATACAGGTGACTGATCAACCGTCTCCTTTGTGCGATAATGGGGAGTGTCAAAACAAAAAATAGTCCTCTTTAATATTGTACAGAATTAAGCAACTGTTTGTATATTGCATACAGCACTTAGTTTCCTTTTTCTTTTGAAATAAAGAGTGCAGCTGCAATCATCTTTGGTGACCTGATTAAGAATTGGCACATAAATAGTCAGCACCTTTGATAGGTAGGTAAGCACAGCTAATGTATATGGATTACAACAATAGACAGAAAGAATTGTGAAAAGCAAGATTAGCAAACAGCTGGTAAAAGATACCGAAGTAATATAAGCAGACATAGCAAAACAAAGAGACAATCATATATATTTGTTATTTTACATAGTGAAAGGAACACAAAACTGAATATGAAGAACTAGGATATCATGGGAAAATAAGGCTTAAGCTTGGCTTTCCATCATGAGTGTTGCTGAATATGTGTCTGTCATTCCAGAGTGAGAAAGTCCTTTCTATTTTTGTGTCACATTCCATGTGTTACTGCTATGGAATATAGTTTCTGTTCCCCAATATCATGTAGCTGGAATGAAGATGTTTGAGAGAAAAAACCCTAAATGCAAGCAGTTTACATAACTGGGACCCCTGAATAGCCATTAGGATTACATAGAATTTATCTGGGTGAGCATCTGCTTTCATGTAGGGATTCTTCAGCCATCTATATTCAAAGGTAGAATTTGATGATCATATGCTATCAAGCTGTGGCTAGAAGTTATACTTTTGAGTAAGAGAACAGATGCAGTTGCTTATTGCAAAAATTCTTGGTCTTAAATATCTTTTACTGCATGAGAAACAGATTTCTGGGGTTTAGTTTTATTTAGATCATCATGGATGTTTTTCTTTCTATGATCACACAGGAAGTACTAATAACGATAAAGCAAAATTATAATGATATGGTTTTGAGTTTGGCATTCCTTTTGACCTTATTCCTTTCATCGTATACCATCTTTCTTTGGTATGTGATTGAACATTTCTGCTGATGGAAAACAGTGGCTCCCTGCTTTCCTTTTTACAGACTCTATCTACATCCTTATGAAGGAAAGCTTTTACAAACTTGCTGCATTAATCAGCTTAGTAATGCAACACCTGCGCCTCCTTCAAAGTACCTCTTGGGACCCTTAGATTTATTTATTTTTAAAATGTAAAGTATCAAAATATTTCAAATCTCACAAGTCCACAGGATTTTGCTTATTTTGTGTTTTCATTTGAAATTTAATTATATTTTGAGTGCAAACTCCAACATCTCACAAGATAATCTGGAAGAAATCCGTAAAGAAGGACCCAATTCTCTGTCTTAATTGTCTGGATCCGAAAAATGGTTACGTGGTCACCAATAATGCCTTTAAAAAGGATTGTCTTTTTGATTTTGCTGGGCAAGAATCTGACAGCACCACCTTTTTTTTTTTCTCACTAGGTCATTATTGAGAGATACAAAGGGGAGAAGCAGCTACCTGTTTTGGATAAGACCAAATTTCTAGTTCCTGATCATGTCAATATGAGTGAATTGGTAAAAATAATACGGTAAGTGAAATACTTCAAAGCAGATTTGCT